TCGTGGGACACCACGTATGATTTTGTTGGCTATATGTTTTTTTTACATCCGTGCCGCGCCACGCTTTCGCGCTACTTCTCCCAGGGCTTCTTGGGCCGCGGGAGCTGAGACTCCTTGGGCACGATGGGCTCAGCTACCTCCGGGCGCCCAGCCCCCCGTCTCCCCATCCGTCCGGATGCGGCGGATCCGTGGGTTTGCCACGGCGTGGTTTGGTTCTCCAACTGGCCAAAGCTGGAAACCAGGGTGGGACATATTTGGTTTCAACAGCCAGTTGACACAGAGCCATAAAGGCACAGATGGAAAGGAATGTTTCACCAGTTGATTGCCATGTCCAAATTGGTGCTTGGCCTCATTCTGCTAAGAGCCAGTCCTCAGTCCTCCCCAAGTTTGCTTCAAAATAGGGGCCAATCCCGAATTCGGAGGTCCTGGCAATTAGCGTCCCCCGTGTGGTCTTGCCTCAAAGAACACTGCATCAGAGCTGCAGACCATTTCTTGAAGCAAGGAACCAACAGGATGCCAGCAAAAGACGCCAAGCTTTCTGAGCTGTTTCTTTTGCCCACCTCTCCAATACCTACTGTAAGGTCTTTTTCAGGGTTGGGGCAGTCGGAACTTATCAAGTATCCCAACATTGGAAAGGGATCAGCCTTGTGTTTTTGGCTTTTGGGAAGGAAGAAACGGGCGAAGGGAATCTGGTTTTACAGCATCCGCTCACCTGGGTCGCGCCTTGTCGTTCACCTCCAGGATGCCGGGCAGGCATCGGCCTCATGTGCGGGAGGATTGGTCAAGACGCAGCCGCAAGCGCAGCTAAGGGGGCCGTCCACCAAAGAAGGCTCAGATGGTCTTCGAGTTCGCCATGCCATCTTATGAGAAGGTCTCCTCCGATGAATCTGGTTCATGGCTTGTGGCAGGTCTGTTGTTCATCCCAAAAGCGAAAGCGTGGCAACAGCATCTGTTGCTCAAAAATAGAGAGCTCCTCCTTGACAGAAACAAGAAAGCTGTCTTGCCGAGAAAGGATAACGTCTTGGTGAGTCGAAAAGAACTGGAAACTCAAAAGCAACGGTTCCTTCTGGACTGTGCAAAATGGAGGGTTGGGCAATCCTAATCCATTGCCCTTCATACATGAATGCATAAGAAGCTAGGGGTTGGGTTCAATGACCAGAAATCCAAAATTGTGCACTTGGTTCGAGTCGCCTCTGCACAAATCGCAAAGACTGTGATCCATTTTTGAAGTTCGAAAGTTTGAGTTTTGTCTTCCTGGTTTTTTGGCCAAGTCAGAGTATTGAACACATCCCTGCAAAACAACAAGTGTCCTTTTAAGCACACAGGGGGGAGGTGCAGTGTCACTCTATCTCCCTGTCATGGTCCTCTACCCTCTTTTGCTCAATCGAAAAACAAGTTGGGCCCATCGCTCTACAAGTGTCAGACACCGGTTCCTGCCTTTGGCCCTCAACAGTCCAAATCCCACCAAGCATGGCAAGGTATCACCGAGCAGGTCCCTCTTCCATGTCTCAGTTGCCCAAAGGACCCAGAAACCAAAGTTGAACCTTTTGGGCTATGACTAAACATGGGCAAGAAAGGGAAAGGTCAAAAGATCAAAAGGTCGATTCACTTCAGCCAATTGAGACATGGAAAAGGGCACCCGCAGGAAAAGTGTCGTGATACTCCATATTAGCCGTTGGAAGGGTATTTGGACTGCTAAGGGCCAAAGGCGGAAACCGGCAAGATGTTAGGTCAAAAGGTCAGATCCGGTCAGATCTGGTCAGCTCTGGTCAGCTCTGATCAGATCTGGCCGATTCCCTTTGGGCCACGTTCGAACCTCAGCCCGGGCCCAACTCCCCCCGGCGCCCTCCCCCAAACCCTCGCCTGTGGCCACCATCTCCGAGACCAGGTCAAAGCCCATCTGCTCGGGGTCCAGCAGCCTGAGATCCCCGGGCCACGGCTGCGGCATGGCGACGGCGTCCTTTTTGAAGGGGATCCATCCACCAACAAAACCAAGCGGAAACCAATATGTTTTTGTTTTTTCCGGTTGGCCTCCCCTGAAAGAGTTGGCCCTTGAACATGGGGGGCCCCTTTTTGAGGTTTGGTTTCCCAGTTACGCCAACCGAAGGGCGGCCCCTTGAAACCAGCCGCAGGGGTGCCCTCGAAACAACACCCAAACGAGCTTCGGTCCACACAAACTTGAAAGGTGCTTTGACATTTTGCCAGTTTCCCGCTTCCGTGGCTAAGGACGGGCTACAACTAACGACCCGGCCTTTCGGACCATCCCAACTTTCGAAAGGCAGTTGCCAAATCCGGAAGCCGGTCTCACGGATGAAAAAAAAATCAAAGTCCTCTTGAAGGAATATGGTGTGAACCTGCAGGGTCGAAAACTATGCTTTCTAAAGCTTGAACTTCTGTGTTGGTTCCAGCCGCCACTAAAAACACAAGAAGACATGTTTAACAGTGTTGCTCAAAGTTGGGTTTTGAACGAGTCAATTATGTGAAATGGGTGTCCTGTTCGACAACGTCATCGGACCCTTAAAAAAAAGCAGGGATGGCGTTCGGATTCAGGACAGGGATCCCTCACAAACGTGTCTTCCTCCTGACTGGGTTTGACCCGGTTGGCCCAGTTGTATTCCTTGAGGCGCTGGTAAGCGGCTGTTCTTGAAGATACCACCAACTCGTTCAGCAAAATTCCCTCAACGAGCCTGAAAACAATGGGAACCCCGCCCCCATTCACAGGTTCGCAGCCTCACTGCCAAGAAGAGCTGTGGCTGTATCATCTAGGTGTGTCCAAGCCACAGCATAAGGATCACCCAACTAATGCACCAGCTTTGTGTAGGCTTCCGATTAACCATCGAAAAATCCAAAATAGCCCAATCGCACGCCCCTGGCAGTTGGGGCTTGCCCAAAGAAACTGTTGGTTGGATGAACCACTTGTTTTCTCAAGGGCCCACTTCAAAGAGACAGGCTGTTCCCTATATTCCTCTTCAAACATCACAACACTCCGGTTGCCTTTGCTCAGTTTTGTTTTTATCGAAAAACAAGCAAAAGAATCCTTTGTAGGCACCTCTGACAGACCTCAGAAAGAAGGACTTCCTAGTTCCATTCGAGTCTTCTGACAACCAAACTCAATCCTCCGCAGTTTGGCATGGAACCGGAAAAAAAGCCACCGCAGTTTTAAGGCGGAAAGGCAAGACCCCCGCGGAGGCTCCGCGAAATTTCGGCTTCTTCAGCTATGGAGCAAATCCGCCGCCCGCTGCACCTCTGCCAGCACCTCCTGAAGGCTGAAGCGGCGAAGGCGCGACTTCAAGGCGCGGTTTGCCGGGGGACTGCCAGTTGCACCATGGCTTTGGCTCGCACGCGAATCCCCGGAAGATGGTCCGTTGCAGCTTGAAAAAAAAAACAAGAGGAAGCGTCACAAAAGAGAGGCCCGGTGTCCCTTTTCTACCTGGGCTATCCCGGTCCCCTGTGATTTCTCTTGAAACTACCCGCAACATGGACACCCTCAACGAAAGGTAGTTTAAGATCCCGTTTCAGTGGATGCACACCAAACAAGTGCTGAATGCCCCTAGTAACATCCACTTTTGATGCCATTTGGATCCCCTGGGTTGTTCTACACGGCCTGTCCCTTGGCTTCCAATGGAAATGATATGGCCCAAAGGCAGAGGCTGGGCGATAGGAGGGCTGGCCGATCCGTGACTTGCCACACCACAAGGTTCCCTGTCCCTGTAGTTTTGGAAGGTTGTATGTCGAGAATACCACAGGTGGTGTTGCCTCTGTGTGCTGAGTGTGCTTGTGTGTGTGCTGCTTGCTTGCTTACTTCCTTGTTTGCTTGTATTATTATTATTATTATTATTATTATTATTATTATTATTATTATTATTATTATTATTATTATTATTATTATTATTATTATTATTATTATTATTATTATTATTATTATTATTATTATTATTATTATTATTATTATTATATTATTATTATTATTATTATTATTATTATTGTTGTTGTTGTTGTTGTTGTTGTTGTTGTTGTTGTTGTTGTTGTTGTTGTTGTTGTTGTTATTATTATTATTATTATTATTATTATTATTATTATTATTATTATTATTATTATTATTATTATTGAGGAGGGCAACGAGTTCTGGTAGCCGCAGTGCCGGGCCAAGAAATGGGCGCTCTCAAATTCTCACAGGGGGTCGAACCTGGATCCACCCTTCACCGGTGGGTTCCGATGATTCACGATGTTGGGCCCGATCAAACTTAGGAAAAGTTGAGGTACCCCATAAAATAGAGAATCCCCAAGCAAGGAAGATACGTGGGTGCTCATTTTGCCCACTGTACTAGGTCGCCTGAAAAATGCCGGAAAATGGGCCAGGACGAAACGAAGGCTGCAAAGCAAGCCCATTTCGTAGCGGATGTGGGATTGGCCGGGTCGCCAATTGTGAAAGAGGGTCATCTTCCTTGTGAACCCAACAAAAAAACAGTGTAACCAGGGGTGTTGAGCAGAGGGTCTGGAAAAACCAACCAAAAACGACTTCTGCTCTTCCCCTCTTGGTTTCCTTCGGGGAGAAAATCTGTGGCCTTGACCACTCCTTCGAGACCCGTCCGAATTTTTGCGCCTTCAGGGCCTTCACGTGGTCCGGGCCCTGCCACTGCAGCACCGGCCCGTTGTCGCTCACCCGCTCCTGGCTCAAGGAAAAGCGTGGAATGAATCATCGAAATCGGGGCAAAACTCAAAATAAGGGCGTGGAGTGAATCACAGTAGGGGGCAAAAATCATCAAACTGGTACTACAAATCAACATACAAAGTTCAACATGTGGAATGAATCTCCATAGGGAGTTTGGGGGTACACACAAATCTAAGCTAAGTCATGACCGGCTAAATCATCAAACTGGGGGGTTTGGGGTACCACAAGTCTAACTTAAGTCATGACCATGAGAAAGAAATGTAGTAATCATTCAGGCCCTTGCATTAACCCTGTCCACCAGAGACCTATAACACTTAATAAGCATACCCTGGACCTCTAGAAAGGAAGATACTCATGGGAGTATTGGAATGTGGCAACAGGTAAAACAACTCTTGTTTCTGGTCAGACTGTCCAAGGGGTTCAGCAAGGCGGGACCCCTCAGGCATTTTTGTAGTTTTCTGGAGACACACATACAAGTTGAACTGCATGCACCCGACTGCAAACTTGGCAGGGGGGGCGTGTTGGGGAAGCACCTGGCCGAAGAAGAAACCAAGAAACCAACCCTACGCATTGTGCACCAGCGTATGACACCAGGCAAAGCATGCAAGGGAATTCGCAAAACGACAATCGGAGTACGAAGGGAGAAGGGAGCCACCCGAAAGAAATAGAACTGGGATGCTGCAGGATAAAGGATGGAAAACGGTCCTCAAACCGATCCGGCAGAGATTAATATTCGGATCCGTTTGATGTTTGGACCTCCAAAGCAAGCAATTGTGCCAACTGAGTTTCCATGAGCGCGAGGAATTCCAGTGCCGAATGCGCCCGACACCCACAATTGGAGCTTCACTCCTGATTGAAGCATGCCTTGGTCCCTTACCGAAGCATCCATTTCTAAGGAGCCCACGTCCGAAGAGCTTGGAATTAGGAATAAACAAATTGCAGTTCCTCCCCTCCCCCCTTTAAAAAAAAAGCCAAGGTGAAATACTCTCTGAAAAAAATGGCAGCATCTCAACAAGATGTTGGCCCTCAGTCTTGCGCTCCTTGAAGCCGGCAGCCTCGAAGGTGAAGAAGAGGCCCTCCCCCACGGTCCGCTCCAGCACCTGTCAAATGCGTTTCGCCGCCGATGGCCGCCATCCCTTCGCCGCGCCGCTTCCAATTTCGACCTCCCTTCGCTTTCTTGAAGATCCCTTCGTTTTTTGAGCGTGTTGCTTGGGGATGCTAAATCCACAAGCGGTCTTTTCCGCCCCACGCGCGATCCTAGCCCGATCGCCTTTCGGGTTGCCAAGGCTGAGAGTAGACGACCAAAGATGGAAACCATCCAAAATGGCTCAAACTGTTGCCTAGGCCATGGACAGCATTTCTTGATTCATCATATTCGAACATTGTCCAGTGTAATGTCCACCCCCAAGCCACCCCGTAACCTGGAAACTGTTCTGGACCAAAGGTCACACTTAAGGTGGCCGCGGAATGATTTCCGCTTCTTCTTTCGGGATAATATACTTTTGCGGGTTTCTTCGGTGGTAAAAACACGCCGCACTTTCTTCAGTGTCTTCGAGTGAGCGCGGCGAAATTTTGGCAAAGTCGCACCACTCGCAAACAAGACACCAAACCGTCGCTTTTCGGGGGCCCCGAGAACCCGAGAACCCCGCGTCCCGGCGCATGGCGTGCAGCTTCACGTTGCTCACGTCCTCACGGCGCAAAGGGGCCAAAGAGTAGGCTCCAATGCGGGGTCCAAGGGGTACATGGGGGTCTCTCTTTTTTTGGGGGAGCCCCACAAACTGGTGGTATTGCGTGTGTTGCTCCCTGTAAAACCACCAAAAAGGGGTATGCGAAACCAGAGCTACTCTTCGGTCCATGCGAAAAGAAAGCCAACATGACAACCGTTTGAAGGAGCTTCCGGTTTTGACACATTCCCAGTCACTCCCATACTTGCAAGACAAAGACAAAACCTCTCGATTCATGATAGGTCAAGAAATGGGTCTGTCCTAAACGGGGGGGGCTGAAAATGAGCTGCTTCCTTCTGGTTTCCCTTTCAACGTCAACCAAAGGAGAGCCTTCAAGCTTTGCACCCAAGAGTGGAACTCTGTGCCAGGGAGGCCCCTCAGTGACCCACCCTTCTCATTCTTGAAATTAGCCACAAGCCCGCATTAGTCCGACTCTATTCAACGCATTGCCTCAAACTGTGCTCCTTTGGGCGGCGTTTGAACACGCGCTTCCCAGCGGCTTGGATGCAAGGCTCAAGATGGCATCGATTTTGCATCTTGAATTGTGTCAGTACAAAGGACAGGGAAACAGAAGGTCACATTTTTGGAATCTGTTGGCTTAAACAGAAACACTGGACACGGCCCCAAAGTTTGAAAACGCTGGAGTGGAAAACCAAAACCTCAGAGGATCTCTGCTTTGTGCAAATTGCCCTGTCTTCTTTTTTATAGGGGACCCCCAAGATAGATGTGTTCTTTTTTGGTTTCTTCCTCTTGAAAAAAAACACCCAAAAACAAGCTGAGCCCAAACTCTGTCATCTTCAAAACCACCAGAAAAAAGGGGTGACCTCTCAAGCAAGCTGAGCCCAAACTCTGTCATCTTCAAAACCACTAGAAAAAACGGGTGACCTCTCAAGCAAGCTGAGCCCAAACTCTGTCATCTTCAAAGCTACTAGAAAAAAGGGGGGTAACCTCTAAAACACGTTGAGCCCCAAAAGCAAAAACCTCCGCAAGCGAGGCCTTTCGAGCCATCGCCCCCTCCTCCGACAAGCGCCGCAGGATCTTGGCGGCGTTGGCGAGCTCCTGAGCGACAGAATCAGCTGGCCATGGGCTTTTCCAAATCCAAATCGGTTAGCCCCCCGTGAACATCCGATTCAATCCAACCACTAAGATAGGTCCTAACAATGGGTAGTGAATTCACCTACCCCAAAATGGTACCAGTGGTCTTGACCCACAGCCAGCTTGTCATAAGGGCCAAGAAAGGCGAGCGAGCATGAAGTCACCTTCAGCAACTGGAAGTGGACACCCTGGTCAGCAGAGCCGGCGGAGCCTCCAAAAGGACACACCCCTAGACGGCAAAATGGGCTCGACTCTTGTTGGGTCTCAGACCTCTTAAAAGGCGGCGGACAAATCACACCCGCACAGGTTCCAATCGGGTCCAATGAGTCCAATGCCTATTTTCATCAAACGACCAAACCAGTGAGACTCAACGAGGGCCTTTTGTTGGACTCTCGCTTTCAAGGGGGAGAAAGGGCAAATTCATATGCTCCACAAATGATTGGTACACATTCGGAACAGACAAAAGGCACAAAACAAGTTCAGTGAGTCCCTCGTCCCGAAGCCCGAAATGACGCCACGATCCTTTTGAATATGTCCACAACCATCTTAAATGGTCCTTTCTGTCCGCTTGCAGTCAAGGAAACCTAGTGTTTGGGCTTGCTTATTCTCGACTGTCCATCAGGGAGCCTTACATTTCAGGTTCAATGGACCTTGGGTCGGGTACCGAAATTCCAGTCCCTTTTTCGCAGGGTTGTGGAAGTTGGCCCCTTTCTGGGATACCCAAGCTGAATCCCAACGCCCCATGACTTGAGATGGAATTCCTTGACCAGCAAATGGTCGCACCAACACTTTCCACACAGCACAAAGTAGTTCCCACATGCCCTGGATTATGCACAGGCCAATTTCCTCCCAGTGCCAAACCCAAAAAAGAAAACAGGTGACTTCCCAGGGCCAAACCAAAAAACACAGATTGCTTCCTCCCAGTGAAAAAAAAGATCACTACACCAGTTCCTCAGGCCGGACCACAAATTGCTTCCTCCCAGTGAAACAAAAAAAACACTAAACCAGTTTTTCAGACCGGACCTCGGGGGCAAGGATCTTCCCCCCCCCCCCAGCCCCCGAGCCCCGAGCCCCGAGCCCCCGCCTGGCGCAGCCCTTCCGGTGGGCCCTCGCTCAGCTTCGCCAAGCTGGCCCTCAGCTCCAAGTCTTCGAACTTCTCCTGCGAGGATCCCCCCGGCCCTCGAAAAACTGGCAGTTTTTCTTTGTGTGTGTGTGTGTTTTAGTTTTTTTTTTTTTTACTTGTTCCCATCGACTTGCTTCATATTGAGTTGGCATCCGTCGATGTTTGGTATGAAAGGTTTCCTTTCCGGATGGCTCCGTATGGCTCCGAATCTGTTGCAAGGTTCGTATCAAGACATCGGGACCAACCGCCTCAGGCACCCCGCCAGATCTGGGCGCCCATAGAAAGCCTCAAAATTTTGCTCGGCTTAACGCCTTCTTGCTACCGGGGGAATGTGCACCTCGTAAACACCCGGCATAAAGCGAAGCAAATCCCCAGGCTAATAAAATAACCCGAAGCAAAGCTAAGCTTTGTTGTCCACCCCATTTGGACCCAGTCCAAAAGCCAACGAAAGACAATTTCCATGTCTGGGTGTCCTTTTGCGTGACGAGCTCTTCATCTAACACCTTATTGGAATTTGACCGCAATACAAAGCTAATTCAAAAGTCGAATTGCCAGACTTCCTGGACTCCAACTCTGACAAGGGTTACTTCGAATACTCGACTGGCGAAAACTGACATCTTCTATTCAGGGGAGTTGAGGGGTGGGCATACTTACTAAACACAGGGGGACATTGTGCCGAGGGAGGCTTGGGTTGCCATTTGGCAAGGTGGATGTCCAAACAAAACAAGTGTGAACGGAAAAATCCCATGCTTCTGAAGCCACCCTGTAGTACTCCCTACATCTGCCACGCGAGCCATGTGGGGTGCAAGGCAAGCCATGCTTTGTGCATTCGCTGATGCGCCGTTCGATTAATCGTGCCATCGCATGTACGAAGTCTTTTGAGAATGCCAGCTTCTGTGATGCCACCACAAACCGGTGATGCCAGTTGTCAAATCAATCTAGCAGAAATGTTTATTTGAGGTTCATGACTTTGTGGACTCACCACATTCCCGGGGCGTTCATTGCTCAGATTTATATATTTTGATTGATTGTGGCTGAGCGGAGGACATGGAAAGTTCCAGGTCTCTTGTAAGCCTCTTCCGTGGGCAGCCTCTTGCGAGGCTCCCGAGAGAGACCAACGGAGGCAGCAAGAGGTCCGGGATGAGCGGCTTCACCACGCATGTCATGCCACGATGGCGTGCTTCGACTTGCAGCTGGAACTTGTCGAATCTCTGCACCACATTCGGGTGACAGGCAAATCCCCTCACCCACTCCACCTCAAGCATAAACACTGCTTTGACTCCACGCATTCCAATTACCCTCCCACCAATTCACATGGAACCTGACCGGGGGGTCTTACAAGACCATCTTCCTTTTAAAACGACCGGATCCCGAACGAAGATGGGAGGTACCACCTTGATCCAACGAAGCGACGAAGTCCTGGGGCTTCTCTTCGGTCGCTGCCGTGGCCTGTGCCACCGCTTCCATGGCTTCCTTCCTCGCGAGCCGATTCGATTCGGGGATTCGGGGATTCGGGGATTCGGGGATTCGGGGATTCGGGGATTCGGGGATTCGGGGATTCGGGGATTCGGGGATTCGGGGGCGAAAACCAAGAGAGAACCCAGGGAAAATTATGTGTTTGAAAATTTTACCTGCCAGTACGGGTCTGGTTCAAATGGAACATTGGAAGGAGAAACCCTTGTTTTGGAGGTCCACCAGTGTCTTGATCCAAATCTGCAACTCATGTAAGCGGCCATCCGGGTCATCATCTTGGCGGCTCGGGAGGGGGAACGGTCGGGGGAATACCATGGCAAGGGGTGGGGGCTGACGGCTTGACCATCTGGACCGTAAAAATGTACATGTGGTGTATATATATATATGTATACATATATACATATAGAGTGTATATGTTTATGCATAAATAGACAGTTTTGATGGTGGCCAGTGCTGCCAACCCCAGGTTGTAACATGTTCACACAACCCTTTTTGACCAGCTTTTGCTTGAGAAGAAACTTTAATGTTCGGAGTTTGGATCTTGATATCCAAGCTCGGTCACGACCCTTTCTCTGGCATCTTCCCTTTTGAAAGCCAGCCTGGTGGAAAATATCACCAAACTAGGGGTCCGCACCCGAAAACCGGCCGCACGGGCCAAGCAAACAAACACACTCCCTGATGTTGAAATTCCAATATCACCTCGGAAACTCAATTAACATGGCCTCTCCCAAAAATGGATGCAGGGTTCCAACATCCCGCCTGAACCTCCCCTGACAATGTGATATCCTGACTTTCTAGCAGGACATGGGTTGAAGTCCGCGCCAGGCGTCACCAGCTCCGGGTTGAACGCGGGCACGGCCCCCGCGGCCGGCGCGGCCGCGCCCGCGTCCGCCGCATATCCGGCAGCCTCCGGCTTCTCGGCTGCCGACGGCTCCATGGCTCGAAGGCTCGATCCGAAGTCGTGAGGTGCGGCTGCTGTTTGTTTCCCCCTGCTTGGCTATGACCCTTTGGTGGACGTCATTTGGAAAGTTTATGTCCACTTTTGCAGGTCCGGCTATGCATTTTCATCAGGGAGCGTTTGGTGGACCTCATTTAGGTGGTTATGTCTGCAAAGCAATTTTCAGGGGGTTCCCCGTTAAAGTTCATGGCCATGTGGGGTGAGGTCTTGTTGAAAAGGAAAGCCCGCTGACCAATCCATCTTGTGAAACGACGTCAAGGTCCCAAAGATAGACTGACGAAACACCCCCCAGGAAGTCTGACTAGGAGATTCGAAACAGAAGACCCAATGAGAAGAGTAATGAGGGGCAGTTCACAACCAGGCAGAAGGCCAAAGGATGTCTTGTAGTTGCTCTTCTTCGCAACAATGGTCAGCAAGCGCTTGTTTTGGTAGAGAGCTGTGGCTACATGCTACTATTGACGTGTAGAAGGCGCTTGGTTCGCCGAACTCTAAAATGGCTGCAAGTTGAGTCAATAGCTGCTGGACATTTGCATGACAATGGGCGATGGAGAGATCAGAACCCCCACAGTGATAAGCTTCCTCTTAATTTAGAAGGGTGTTCCGCATTCCGCATTTAAGACACATCCATACGTGTGAAAACCCCCGCACAGCGGAAAGCGCTATGGCGGCCCATAGAAAACTACCACGCGCCTCAGACTTACCGCACCCAGGTTTGAGCTGGGCTGCGTGTCCAAACTCGGAACACTTCTTCTTGACGCTTGTGCGGCCGGCACGAAACAAAGCAGATTGGAACGTTCCCCGGTTCTCACACATGCCCATGCAACCAACAGGTGACAACCAGATTCAGACAGTCATCAATACTAGCTTTTAATACTTAGCGGTGGTTCAACCAAAGATCAAAGACATGCGAACACTTGTTGGACACACTGCATTTATCCAACCTCCCCTTGCTGCTCTGCACTGATCACACATCTCAATCAAAGGAATCCCTTCATTCGATACTCATGGGTGAGCTTTGCTTACTTGCTGAGATAGGCACTCGAGCTCGCTTTACCTCGCTATGGGTACTTCCGGATCCAATCCAGAGAGAACCTCCTTGGGAGGGACCCCTTAGTGGGGTTCCATGATGCGCAGGGCAGTCTGGGGAGCGTCGCGCTCATAGCCAAGGCCGATGCTCGCGCAAGCGCTCGCCCCTTTTGCTTCTCCCTTCAGGAGAGTTTCTCATCCCGAGTCTGGATCAGGAGATTTGGTTCTTTTGCCGGCGACCAACCTTGTTGCGAACTGACCCGACCATTTTGCCGACCCTTGCGAGCCTTGGGAACCTTTTGGTGGACATTGTAGTGGACATCATGTACATGGGGATTACGTCCGCCAACCATGGAGGAGATTCCCTTGAACATGCATAGCCTAATATGATCCTTTTGGAACGATTTTTGTTCGCGAAGCCGCAACATGTAAAAATTATGTTGCGAATTTGGTCTTGGGGGGGTTGCACTTTATGGCTGCCTGTACGACAAGGCGCAGGAAACCCCAAAGCCACTGAACATTTGAATGAGTGGGACACTTTCGGAGACAGGCTTGAAAGAAGCATACATGAGTTGCCATGAGATTCGAAATGGTATTGGGTGTTTCATAGAGATACCTCGCACATGACTATCGAATATGGGGATGCTCGCAAAAAGAACCTTCACATGCCCATGAATGCTCCCCGGTCCATTCATGAACTCGTTGGGGGCAAGGGAAGTGACTGCAATACTTAGTTAGGGAAGGTGAAAGAGAAAGGAAGATAAAGGAAGCCAAAGAAAGCTAGAGGCAATTAAAGGAAGATAAAGGAAGATACAGGCAGCTAAAGGCAAGTAAAGAAAGCTAAAGAAAGATGGAGAAAATTAAAGAAAGACAAAGAAAGACAAAGAAAGCTAAAGGCAATTAAAGGAAGCTAAAGGAAGATAGAGGAAATTGCAGGAATATACAGGAAGCTTAAGGCAATTAAAGGAAGATAAAGGAAGACAGAGGAAGCTAAAGGCAATTAAAGGACGCTAAAGGAAGCTAAAGGAAGCTAAAGGACGATAGAGGAAATTAAAGAAAATTAAAGGAAGCTTAAGGCAATTAAAGGAAGCTAAAGGCAAGTAAAGAAAGCTAAAGGCAATTCAAGGAAGCTAAAGGACGATAGAGGAAACTAAAGGAAATTAAAGGAAGCTTAAGGCAATTAAAGGAAGCTTAAGGCAAGTAAAGAAAGCTAAAGGCAATTAAAGGAAGCTAAAGGAAGATAGAGGAAATTAAAGGAATATACAGGAAGTTTAAGGCAATTAAAGGAAGATAAAGGAAGACAGAGGAAGCTAAAGGCAATTAAAGGACGCTAAAGGAAGCTAAAGGAAACTACTGGAAGCTAAAGGAAGCTGAAGGCAAGTAAAGAAAGCTAAAGCAAGATAGAGGAAATTAAAGAAACATAAAGCAAGATAAAGAAAGCTAAAGGCAATTCAAGGAAGCTAAAGGACGATACAGGAAAATTAAAGGAAATTAAAGGAAGCTTAAGGCAATTAAAGGAAGCTAAAGGCAAGTAAAGACAGCTAAAGGCAATTAAAGGAAGCTAAAGGAGCTAAAACAAATTCAAGGAAGCTACAGGAAGCTCAAGGAAGCTAAAAGGAAATTAAAGGAAGCTAAAGGAAGCTAAAGGAAGCTAAAGAAAGCTAAAGGCAATTAAAGGAAGATAAAGGAAGATAGAGGAAACTAAAGGAAATTAAAGGAAGCTAAAGGCAAGTAAAGAAAGCTAAAGAAAGATGGAGAAAATTAAAGAAAGACAAAGAAAGACAAAGAAAGCTAAAGGCAATTACAGGAAGCTAAAGGAAGATAGAGGAAATTAAAGGAATATACAGGAAGCTTAAGGCAATTAAAGGAAGATAAAGGAAGACAGAGGAAGCTAAAGGCAATTAAAGGACGCTAAAGGAAGCTAAAGGAAGCTAAAGGACGATAGAGGAAATTAAAGGAAATTAAAGGAAGCTAAAGGCAATTAAAGGAAGCTAAAGGCAAGTAAAGAAAGCTAAAGGCAATTAAAGGAAGCTAAAGGACGATAGAGGAAATTAAAGGAAATTTAAGGAAGCTTAAGGCAATTACAGGAAGCTAAAGGCAAGTAAAGAAAGCTAAAGGCAATTCAAGGAAGCTAAAGGACGATAGAGGAAACTAAAGGAAATCAAAGGAAGCTTAAGGCAATTAAAGGAAGCTTAAGGCAAGTAAAGAAAGCTAAAGGCAATTAAAGGAAGCTAAAGGAAGATAGAGGAAATTAAAGGAATATACAGGAAGTTTAAGGCAATTAAAGGAAGATAAAGGAAGACAGAGGAAGCTAAAGGCAATTAAAGGACGCTAAAGGAAGCTAAAGGAAACTACTGGAAGCTAAAGGAAGCTGAAGGCAAGTAAAGAAAGCTAAAGCAAGATAGAGGAAATTAAAGAAACATAAAGCAAGATAAAGAAAGCTAAAGGCAATTCAAGGAAGCTAAAGGACGATACAGGAAAATTAAAGGAAATTAAAGGAAGCTTAAGGCAATTAAAGGAAGCTAAAGGCAAGTAAAGACAGCTAAAGGCAATTAAAGGAAGCTAAAGGAGCTAAAACAAATTCAAGGAAGCTACAGGAAGCTCAAGGAAGCTAAAAGGAAATTAAAGGAAGCTACAGGAAGCTAAAGGAAGCTAAAGAAAGCTAAAGGCAATTAAAGGAAGATAAAGGAAGATAGAGGAAACTAAAGGAAATTAAAGGAAGCTTAAGGCAAGTAAAGAAAACTAAAGAAAGATGGAGACAATTAAAGAAAGACAAAGAAAGACAAAGAAAGCTAAAGGCAATTACAGGAAGCTAAAGGAAGATAGAGGAAATTAAAGGAATATACAGGACGCTTAAGGCAATTAAAGGAAGATAAAGGAAGACAGAGGAAGCTAAAGGCAATTAAAGGACGCTAAAGGAAGCTAAAGGAAGCTAAAGGACGATAGAGGAAATTAAAGGAAATTAAAGGAAGCTAAAGGCAATTAAAGGAAGCTAAAGGCAAGTAAAGAAAGCTAAAGGCAATTAAAGGAAGCTAAAGGACGATAGAGGAAATTAAAGGAAATTTAACGAAGCTTAAGGCAATTACAGGAAGCTAAAGGCAAGTAAACAAAGCTAAAGGCAATTAAAGGAAGCTAAAGGAAGATATTGGAAATTAAAGGAAGACAAAAATAAAGGCAGTTAAACTGGCTTGCAGTATCTCATGGGCTCCAAATGTGCGGCTTCCTTCTGGTTCCTCTTAGCAACCTGAAAGAATACCCTCTGAAAGGCAACCATACCGCCGGGCTCAAGACTCGGATCATGCGGGTGACACCAAAAAACCCGGCGGACGACCAAAAATACTCGAGCTGTCTGCAAACGAAGACTGCTAACTCCCTTCTTGCCATTAGGCCCTTTGACTCCCCCAAATTGCCAAAAGGGTCCCTGATGTTATCCATTTTGGCATCCGCTCATGCAGTCGCCCCTTCTTGGCGAGGGCTTGGAAAATCATTGAAAGGCCCTAAGTCACAGCCTGATGCAAAGCTGCCACGAAACCAAACAAGGCATTGCCGGTGCGGTGTTGGCCACATGAGGATTGTCCAAAGGGGCTGTTTTTGCTAGACCCTTTTGCGGTTCAAATCAAAAAAATGAAGGGCACTTGGGTCCAAGATTTGAACCCATGATTTTGACCATTCCCAACATCACCCCAAGCAAAAGGAAAAGAGACCCTGTTTCTGGATTTGATAACCCAAAAAACGGACCAAAGAATGGACGCACCGTCGAATTCTAAAAAGGTTGCTGGGGGGGGGGGGGGAGCCTTGTTCGTGCTTCACGCACTTAGGTTGTACCACCCAACAAGAACCCATGCTTGCCCCGGATGCTTGGTGGCGCCATCTTTGCCACTCCGCGTCCCGTCAGTCAATAGGGCCTTGTTGGGATTCCGTTTGGGGCGAGTGCCAAAGCCAAAGCGTCGGAAGGTTTGGGGGCCCTGAACATCGGAGACAAACCCGGTGCCAACTTGTGGAAACCATAGCTTCAACATCTTCTAGATTTCAGCTAGGCAATTAGGGGTGATCTGGATGCTTAGACCAATTCGCCCAGCGAATGAATTAAATTCTTCTTGGTCAACCTCTCGTGAGAAAAAAGGCTCGCAGCCACGTGCCCATGACATCGAAAGAAAGCCCTTGCCATTGTTCATCCACAGCTCACGAACCGGACATGTGTGGGTGTCCAACAAATTGAGGGCAACCTTTTCGTTGGTGTCGGAGAGAAACACATCAAGCCGTTTCCAGGGAAAAAATAGGTCAGACGGAGCATGTTCAAATATTGCAAGCCGTGGAAGAGTGGTGGGTCCAAAGAAAACAGTAGCCTTTCTGCCTGAAGCCGAAGCTAAGCATGCAATCGGTCCACTGAGCTCGCTAGAAACTCCTCAGGGCCTTCCGCCCTATGAGCCACACAATTTGTTGGACTCGTTCCCAAAAAGAGTCTGAACAACACCATCAATGGATGGTAGTTGTTGTGGTACATAGGGGGTAATATACCTCCCTTGTTTTAGTCGCTGTGTTCTTCACCAGACCTCCCAAGTGGCACAAGTGGGTGTTTGTGCCTTTGAGGACATCCGGGAGCCCAGTGTTTCCCTCTTAGAACATCACCCTGGCAAGAGGACACTCACTGTACATCTGCCTTCGCAAGTGATGTTTTAACAACTGTCCGAGGTTGGAAATAGACCGAAGGCCGCGCCAGTGTTCAACATCCCCCCTAGTCGTCGGCAAAGGTTCAAAAAAAGTGTTGCCACTTTTTGTGACATCAAAGTGGTTGATTCCCATCATCATGACTACTTCATGACTTTAAAAGGGGTTCCCTTGGCAATTTCTATAGGGACCAAGAAAACCTACGGTGGGGGTGGGGGGGGATTCAAACCAAAAACACAGAGTCGCCTCGGAGAAATAGCCTGTAAACGCCGACAGCAGGTTTGCCTTTTTCAGAACATGAAGAGATTTGAACAAGTGCGGAAACTCCCATCTTTGATTCTGCGTTTCTTGGTTTGTTTGTTGTTGCCGTTGCTGTAACCAAGGGGGGGGGGGGAAATGTGTTTCCGCACTTGGGCTCCCCACGCGCCCGGCGCGGGCCGTGCGAGCTGGGCGAATGTTTGGGACATGTTGGTTGCTTGGGATGGCAAAGACCTACATGGTGGGTCAAAAATACCCAAAATGGCTTGCCCTTGGAGGAAACATGGACTAAAAGCTGCGGATTTTTCCGGTGCGACCAGCCACATCCAGAATGTTTGGGAAATATTGGTTTGTTGCTTGGGATAAAGCAACGAGATAGTCTGAATGCGAGCCATCCGCGAGACGCCGCTCACATTGCGCCATATCCCAGGGACATGTCCAAGTTGGAGACATGCAATGTGAGATCCCAGAGGAGACACAACCGAAACTCGAGTCCACCCAACACCCACGATAAAGAATCAAGTCCCAAACCTGCGCTTGGCATAAACTGTCCCTTAGCCTTAGGTAATTAATGCACGGTGTCAAACATTCTGAAATCCGGGGGGGGGGGAAACAACTAGTAGTCCAATTAGTTTAATTCAAGTTATGTTGGCTGGCATCAAGCTAGGCTTTCTGCGTTTGCTTTCTAGCTTTAAAAACAAGTTGTTTAGATCACCATCGGCCATCGGCCATGTACAGTATCAGGCGACACCTTCAAGCGCCATCTGCTGCAAAGAAACATGAGCCTTCAGAAATCGATCTTAGATTGCCACCTGGGGAAAAAACACTTGCCAAATGACCACCCAGCTCTGGCCTACTGCATCAGAATTAGTACTTAACCAAATCATCACCGCCATTATTTTTGAATACCCTCACCTCTAGACCTTGAAGGCAACACCTCCCAACTTTGTGAGAGCTTCCTTTAGCCAAAACTCCACCCCACCCCCCCACCCCACATCCTGAGCCCCTGGCTGCAGGCAGTACCGGCTTGCAGCAGCGGCCCTCAGCCTCGTCTGTGGTCAGAATGGGCCGCGGAGAGGTCCTTTGTTCTTTCCACTTATGGGTGCGGCAAGGCCTCCTTGGAGCTGTTGAGAAAGGAATTCGCGAGAGATTGCCGGCTTCAAGAGGTCCCTCGTTGAAAGACAAACTCGTTTGGACCCCCACAAGGCTGACACCAGGTGAGAAGGGGTCAAAAAAAGAGGCCTGGAAAGCTGGGCCCCTCATCCCCGCAGACAACCTCCACGGGACCAAACACTTAAAGCAACTTGACCAGGCTCTTGACTCGCTTGCTTTTCCGGTGCGTCCTGCCAGGAATCGCAAACTGGCTGATATGCATCGGAACCGTACGGGGCGTACGCTGGGTAACGCCGGGTGCACGGATATAACCCAGCGCCCCAGATCCCTTGTCCGGGATGGCCGCTGATCCCGTTGTAGCGGCCTCGTGTTTCCTTTCGCTCCGCATCTGTGGTTCTTCCGACTTTCTCCCAGCCTCGTGCCCAGGCACCCGCAAGCCTCGTGTATGCAACCCTCACAGGGCCCACCAGCCTCAAACTCATCTTGGCCGCCCCGCCCTCTCCTTGCGCACCCTGGGCACACCGAGCGAGGAGCCGGGTTCAAATCCTAAGGTCTCAAACGTCCTCTTGCCTATCTTATCTTACACCAACTCCAGTCAGTTCCTGGCAATTGTGTCAGCAACAAGCTGCGTCCTTTGCAGCCGACCGCCTTTTGTTCAAAGGAAGAACCAACAGAAAAACAAACATAGGTGTCAACCAGGCCCCCCAATTGAAAGCTTGGTTTCAAACAGTCAGGTCCGGTCAAAGCAAATGCTGAGGCTTGAGGAGCCGCACACTTGTCCGACAGCCAATTCTCGCAGGGAGCTGAAGGGAGCCTTGTAGATAACCCTCGGCGAACCCTTCCCGAACGTCTCATATACCAGAGATAGGAAACCCTAGCCCCTTGTGAGCGGAGCTTGACAGCTCCTCGAAGTATCACATAATATACGTAGCAGTTTGTGTATGATGGCTAGTCCATCCATCTCGTGACCATTTCCCAAATCAACCAACTGGAACAATCCAAACCCAACAAAAAGTGCAGCAGCGGGAATTCGGAAAAGCGCCCGGTGATTGATTCACTTGCAATAGCCCAAATTCTTGTCGACAGTGAAGCAGCCAACGAGGAAAAGGAGAGTCCCATTCATTTGAGTCGTCCCCTCAAAGAAAAATTGCCTGGAAGACCCAGGCAAGCCCTTTAGCCTTTCTCTGTACTTGGGCTTCAAAGGGGCGTGCGCTTGGGATAACACAAAAGCAGCTTGCCTATCAGGCGCATGCCCGATGCAGCACAGCGCCCGTGCTGCAAGGACAAACCCTCCCACCAGGATGTAGTCCCCTGCGAACCCCTGCAAATCAATACGTTTTGGCCAAATTCCAATGTAGATATCCTCATGAGGGGCTTTGCTTGCAACCAAAGGGGACATCAGCACGCGAAACCTGGCTTGGATCTTGCACGCCAACCAACCAGGTTCGGGCCTGTACTACGATTGGGACTACTTGGAGATCCAAGGAAAAAATCTCAAAGTCTCCGCATCCAACTTCAGCTCAAAGCCTTGTGCCGAACTAGGGTTCCCATCACAAAGGCTGCTTGACCACCTGAATTTCCAGTTTTGCCGGCAATGGCCACTCACAGTTGCCCAGCCCCACCCGGATCCCCGCAATCTGGGCGAAAATTGCTCACACAAATTTTTGTCCCCCCCCCCCCCCCCACAATTTTGCGGGAATCCCCAAGAGCGTTTTCAGCGAGCCAAGTCCCTGGAGTCGGTCGCTTCTCTCTTTTAAAGCCTGAGCCGTCTCGGCCCCCGGCATCAGCGGCAGGGCCTTCAAAAAACCGCAGGACATGGCTTGGCGGACGGGTTGGCAGTATGGCAAGTAGCTTTGAAGGCCAACGGTGGATTCTCGGTTAGCAGATGTTCCGCAAGTTGAGGTCAAAGACCGATTCCAAGGCATGGTTCAGACCTTGTACTCGGCCTATCTGGCAACAGTGCTCCCAAAGATTCGTTCTTGGCAGCCAGGGATCCCAAGGGTATTCGAAAAACCATTTGGGCTTCGACTGTATTCCTAAAGATTCATTTTCCTGGCATTCTAGGACGATGTACTCCAAAAAAAATGCGGCAACATCAGGAACTCCAAAAATGCTGGTTTCCTCGTTGGCCTCACTGTAAACCCATGTATGTTTATATACATATGACATAGGCATAATATGTATAGATATACAGAACATATATATATATATATACAGAAACATGTGTATGTGTACATATCTATATATATATATACATCTATCGCTCACTTTCGGGATACTCCTTGCCGTGCACATCTCGCCTGCAGGAAGTTCCGGGGCCGCTGGAACTCCGGGATCCGGCGCACGCACTCCTCCGACATCTTCGGTTTCGGCGGGGGGGGGGGGGCGGTGTCAACTTCCATGTCTCTTAGATGGTGGACCCCGTTTTGGCTGGTGCGCGTATTTGAAGGGAAACCAAGAAACACACCAATCATCTGCCAGGGGGGGGGGGGGGAGCGGGGTTAGGTTCAGGTTAGATTTGGCATCGCTTCAGGGGGGGGAATTCCCTTGATACCTGAAAACCTTCTGGTTTGACCTGCAAGGATAAACTTTTGGAGGGGTCCAACTCATTTTGACACCCAGCCCGTCATGTCAACTTATAGGCTAATAGGATTAAAGATTGAGCCAACGACAAGCGGGTGGCCAGAGAAAATCATCAAGGCACCTGGAATAAAGGCAACCCCCCCCCCCTAGCCCATTATTCAACAAAAACACAAAGAAAAGCAGAGATAAGGAGCTGGAAGAAAAAGAGACAAAGGAGATGCTCGTGAAGCCTGAGGCTTGTTGTCAAATGAACCCACAAAGGGGTAGTACTTCAGGCCCTCAAATTTGAGCCCAAGACTTTATGTCAACTCTACAATAAAGCCCCGTCAAACTCTCAAAAGGAAGCTCCAGCAATACATCAAATGGAAACTCAATCAAACTCTCAAAAGGAAGCTGCAGCAGTACTAAATGGAAAACCCAAGTCCACTAATACCAAACCAATTGGAAACGCAATCGGAAAGGAGGCTCCAACAATGAACCATTGAAGATAGTCATCTGGGGGTGGCCCTTTTTCTACCCCCAGACCAAGGCGAGCGCTAAGGTCTTCGGGTGAGGTCCAAACATAGGACTCGGACGACTGAGCCTGATCTCTTGGTCGCCCGCGGCGCACCAAAAAAGTATCCTTTGGCTGGCCCCGGAAGTCCATGTCCAACTTGAAGACAACCCAAAATCAGGGGCGGATTAGGAACAATAAGAAGTCCTGGTAGCGGCGCTCGTACGCGGAGAACCGGGACACCTCCATCCGCTGGCCGTCGTAGGCAAACTCGACCTGTCGGACGCGGCCCTCCCCCTTTTCTCTACGACCTCAATCAGGCATTCAGGGCTTTTCTGGAAAAAACAAGGACTTGTTCCAGGTCAAACGACCAGCCACCTGTTTGCCTTTTTGTTCTGGCGGCACTGCTATAAAGCAAACGAAACAACCATAAGAAATTCTGGGAACCCACCAGTCTCCGGCGAGCAAATTAGCCCCGCGCCTCCTCAATGAGATGTGCCACATCCCAGAGATGGCGATTCAGCGTCGAGCCCTGGCGCCGGAGTCGAGGGCTGAGGGAAGGTCAAGTAAGATCGGCATCGAGCTCTTGTTCCCCCAAGTCCGTGATGATTTGAGCAGATCCATGCTGAATATTACCCAGATTTGTAGCTTCCTTGGGGGTTCCTGGATTCAGAGCAACTGTAGCACGTGGCGCAGAAGGCTGATAGTTGGGAGAGACATTGGAACTCCTAGCTCTACCCCCAGAAAGGCTCGAACCCAAACTCTGGTCGACCAGTCATCCCATTTGCCATGGTTAGCGCCCCAGAGAATAGCTGTTCAGTTTCCTCTGACATGCCGTCCAGGAATCCACAAACAACATGGCGGTACTAGAACTGTGTATGGAGTTGTTGCATTGGCAAAAGGTACTGACCAGCACCAAGGTGTACTAAGCCCAGAACTCAAAGCACCCATCTTGAGGAGAAACAATTTGAAGACAAACCCAGTTCAAGATTCTCAAAGGACACACCAATGTGGATCTCTCAAGTACTGGGCCTCCCGGCAGTATAGAAGGGCTTCCCAGCCAAAGCGTCCCCCAGCAGAACCAACGGCCTCGCGCCGTTCGGATTAAATAGAGTACTTCCTGAAGATAGCCCTTGGTATGTTAGCAACCAAGATCGTTTCTGGTTGGCTACTTTTGCGACCCTCCGGTTTGCTGACTGACCTTGGTGTTTGTCAAATAAGTCATATAGCAGCGACAATTGTCGTTTCTCGCAGCGGCTTCTTGCAACAAACGATGTCTCCTGCAACCCTTGGTATGTCGCAAACCCTGGCATGCTGGCAACATCACCTGCCGCCGTTCTCGCACTCCCGTGACGGACGTCCACAGAAAGCCCGTGGTACTTTGTAAAGATGTACAGGAGGGGCGTAAAGGAGAGGCCGAAATGTTGGGACCCCGCCCATGAATTCCCCTCGGGGTCAAAAAATGCATCCGCTTCTGCTCAATTCAACGAGACTCTCCGGGATCTCTAGACTTTGCTTAGGCTCATTTTTGGACAAACTACGGGGGTTGTTCAGCTTCAGCTTGATTCCTTGCTCTTCTCTCAGAATGGGCGGCTTGTGCGTCCTTCAAAACTTCCTTGCCCTTGGCATTGTGGTATACTTCAGTGAGCATCTGGGCATTTTCATCTTCTTACCTGCGCTCAAGCCAAGAGTGTCAAAATTATGATCCGTCAACCTGTTCGCCTCTTTGTCAACTGAGATGACCAAGCTCGTCACGAGCTTCTTTCAGCGTGAGCAAGTCTCGCTTTTCAAAATGAGCATGACGTGCTAATGTGAGGCACCAAAGAACAAAGCTTCTCTTCGTGATACCTATCGTTGCTTCTGCTTCGCGCAACCTAAGTGGCCACGTGGCTAATTAGCCCAAAATGCACAAGCGGGTGAGGCTGGCTGCCTCGACTTGCTTGCTCGCGCGCTCTCTCGCTCGTGTGTTTTTCTTTTTGGTTCGACCTCCGCTGATTCGCCTCCATTTGCTTTCTTGTTCCCGGGACCAAATATGTCATAAACATGTGGCCAATAGCTTCTGGACTTCCTTTCAAACCAAGGAGGAAAAAAAAAAAAAAACGCTCTGAAACAACAATAAAAATCACCGAGAAAAAATGACCCAGAGAAAATACCCCCCCCCAAAAAAAAAAAAAAACGCGTCTGAAACGCGCATGAATTGGCTTTTTTTTTTTTTTGGGGGGGGGGGGGGGGGAAACCGTAGCCAACAGCAAAGGCGACCGCGTGCCCAGGCTCCCGGGCACCGGAGGATCCTGCAACTGGCACGCCTGCGACACGTGCCGAGCCCAAAAAGAGCAGAGGGCCCCCTACTTCTACAAACTTTTGTCACCCACGTACACATGTATGTGCATAGTTCTTGTTGTATGTGTGTATTGTATACATATATATATATATATTGTACCTGTAAGGGGGCCAAATCCTTTCATAAGCCAGGGGAAGGAATGTATGGATTGCCCTGAACTGCCTCTCTTCCGCAGAACAGGGCAAACCGGCCAAACACGGTGGCTTCAAAGGTTTTCAGCATTCCGAGATATTTCAAATGGGGAAAAAGAATGGACCAAAGAAATCCCTTGCATGTGAAAAGGGCAAATATGTATGGCTTCCTTGATGAGCTCAGTGCCAGAGAGTTTGACCCACAGACTCCTCGGGCGCAGCTTTTGCTGCATCCAAGTTTGGGGACGGATTACGAACAGGGGCGTGATTTGAATTGCACTCTGAGCAAAATCTGCTGCTGTGCTTCAATCAGGGCTTGCCTCGCCCGTCAAAGCGTTGGTTAAGCACCGGGCGGCGCGATCCGAGGACCAGAAGGATGCATCCACGAACCTGAGCATCAGGGAGCCCTCCAAAGGCCTCGACGGGTCCGGCAGTATTTTGCATTGCTGCCTCTTCTGAAAGCCCGGGATAAGGCTAAAAAAAGCCCCCAATCGCTGAGTGGCTTGGTGTCTTTGGGGGCGGCGATTTGTGGGGGTCCAACAGCTGCAAACCCAGTGAAGGCAGGATGGAATGAACATTTCACGCGAGATCTAAAAATGCAGCCCTCCAGAAAGACGCAGCCAAGTAGATCTCCCTTTTGGGATCACCCTTCCAGCCCAAGTTTATCGAGTTTCTCGGGCTGATGTTTGAACGGGGCAGAAACACGTTCGCGCCGCTACTCTTGGCCGTCCTGGTTCTTCCCCTTGTCAACTGATAGCTCCCTTGCTTTGTTGGCTCGTCGGAAATTGACCCGGCATTTGATTCGGGGGTATCCTTCCAACCCCGGTCCCCAAAACCAGGTTGCCCTCAAGGCCCCTATTTTCTTGAGACGAGTGGGTTGCTGGACATGTAATCCATTTGGAAAGGTTCTCTATTCAATTCTGTGCCACTCCCCAAAAAAAGCCTGGCTTGGGATGGGTTGCCATCCCCAATACGCCACGCCATGCCGGGGTGTTCTGACAGACCTCATGCTTGTTGAGGGAATCCTTATGGGATTGTTGACAAGGGACACCGAAGCTTAGGTCATGTTGCGACAACCGAGTTGGGCGTCTCAAAACAGTCTCCCCCCCTCCTCACGACAAAGCACATAGATGAATTCCTTTTGGCTTCCCCTAAACCCCCCCCAAAAAAAAAAGAAAGGAAGAAAAGGAAAAGAAAAAGAAAACCAAAAAACAAAAACAAAACTCAAAGGAAGACGCGCCAAAACACATTTGACCCCTGCCAGATCGGCGCCTCGCGGTGATCCGGGCCGGGCGCAGCCTCTGCTGCAGTGCCTCTTCAGTCTGCTTTGGCTGAACAATGACAGCCCCCGCAAATACACATGGTCGAAGCACAAGAACACTACAAGAGAAGGAGGAGCAGAACAAAAATAAGAAGAACAAGAAGAAGAAGAAGCAGAGAAGAAGAAGAAAGACGCTGGTTGGACCTAAGTAGGCTGCAAGGCTGAAACAGCTGTTTAACATACACATGGGTGTGTATCCCCCGTGTTCCCCGTATACAGCCGCCACAAAGGGGGGCGTGGCTCCCAGTAGTGTGACTTTAGTAGTACACCTTAAGGGGACAATGACAGTCTTTGATTCAACTACGCGATCGATCATTCGCAAACGTGTGGAAAGGATCTTGGTGAGCCCATGCTACCCAAGTGCGCTCGTGCTTCATATTCTCTGTAGGCCCATCAAATCCAGCAAATGGGTATGGCTCAAAACAAAAGACAAAAGGTTACGCAGGTCGTCTTTGTTTCCGTTCATCACGGTGCCATTTTGGCTACCAATTTCCGAACCACGGCCAAATGTCCTCCTGACGGATGCGTGCACCGACCATCCGACCGCTCCACTGTTCCGCTCCGCTGTTCCGCCTGTCTGTGTGAGACCAGGGCTGTCTTAGCCCAAGCGCCGAGCAAACGAGCGACCTGTTGCCTACTCGTCAAAAAGCACTCGGCAGAAACAAAAAGCACTGGTTACTGAAGCAGCCATCGCCCAGCCTTCGTGAAATCGAAGTGTAAATTCCAGGGTTGTCTTTTGGGTCTCTTTGGAGACAGGTGCCGATTACCTGATAAATCTCATCCGAAGTATGCTCTCACAATGGGATGCCCAAACAAGTATCAGCTGTTCAGAGGACCCCTTCAATGAACACAATAGCAGAGCTTCTGCCGAAGCATGTGATTCCAGACCTAGGGCCGCACTGGCATGGATTCGCTTGGCAATGGACCGATTGGTGAACATCAAATTGGGGATTACCTTATCATCTTGAACACAAGGGTGTGCTTCTTTTCTGGAGCCGGTACCTGTCTTAACGGACTCACAAGAAAATCAGGAGGAACTTCCCTTTTTGGAGGCTCCGCGTTCGATTTGGGGCTTGTCTTTTAATCCTCAGAGGCAAAGTATGGAGCCTTCTGGGAATCCTGCAGTCCTGTCTTTGGTGGACTTTCAAAAGGGGCAACTTTCAAGAAGAGAAACGCGCTGGTGGGCTGGTTAACCCTCAAAACAACCACGCCCCACGAGGGGCAAAGAAGGGGGGCGGCTGGCCAGGCATCTTCGAGTCTAGAGCGCAGGGCGCTCAAGCGTTGGGAGAGGCGGAGAGGGTCCGGCCCTGAGGCGTCATTGCTGCGGGCACATTTTTCTTGATCTCTCTTGGGGAAATGAACCATGGGCTATTTGGCACCTGGGAATAAGGGTGGCTTGCTCTTGCCCAACGTTCTTGGTTGGCGTGATTGGCATGCCTCCAGGAGGAATTAACCAGACTTTTGGAGGGGAGGAACCAATACTTGTTCCAACAACGTTGTAAAAATCAGGGCTGCCGTTTGGAGACAGAAGGCTTGCTCAACAGACCAATCTTCATGTCTGTTTGGTGCCTGGATAATTCCAGCGCAAAGGAGAAATCGAGCAAGGCTGGTTTAATCTCCTGAGGGAAACCAAGAGGTGGTTGAACCCTGGATAGAGATGGCTTGAACGAATTTGCTCGCCCAACCTTAGGGCAGGGCCATCAGAACTTGGTTTTGGATGCTGCATCTACCTGTATCTTCCTCGTTGCCTTTGGACGTTCAAAGGGCAACCGAAGAAAGCGCAAAAGCCATGATCAGTCTAAGTTCAAATTCGGGTTCCACCTGCAAGGTGAGCAACAAATGCCCAGCCGGTTCGAAGGTCCAGTCCAATTTATGTCTTCAAACACCCGTACGCCTAAACAAAGAGTATATCAAAGCCTAAATAGTTGGGATGGGGGGTTCGGGGCTTTTCTAACAGCAATCTAAGTGTAAGGAGTAGGATGTCAATTAGACAAACGGAGAGAGTTCCGGGAGATCCATTGAAAGGTTCCAGGGAATAAAATATCCACTCAGGATGGTTGAGGGCGCCCTGCACGCAAGAAGGCAGAGGTCATAGAAACCGGTATGTCTAGACATGCTTGTGGCACCCTAACTCTCGCCTGTTGCCTGAGGTGCCAACAAGAAAAATATGACGCTGAACGGTGATGTCAGTTCCCGTTTCAACCACCACCGAAAGATGAATTAAGCAAATTGCGCAATGTGCTGGCACGTCAATCGCGGAGCAGCTCGGCTGACCCATGCTTCCCTGGGTGTCACGTGGCCTTTGGTTGTTGCCTACCGGTCTCAACTGGCCCCTTAGCCGCGCTTCAGAACTGGGGAGTAGAATATTTGCGCCGTAACGTCCACTTCGGATTCATCAAAAGGTTGACCAAGCAGTGCAAGTGAACCGACGAAAGTCGCAATGTAAACCGTTCTCTTCCAGCAAATCGTTCAGGTGGGCCAAAAGGAAGCTCCTTGAAGGGGATCGACCCGAAAAGAAAAGGAACCTTGACGGGTCTTCCTAGCCACTGACCTGCACTCAAGCCTCCGGCCAAATTGCCCCTTCACCCCCAGGACAGATTTGGCAAACCCGACTTGGCAAGGCCCCATGGTTATGGAAAAATCACCCTTGTGGTAAAGGCGGTTGATCCCATGCATTCCCAGGACTACTAAAATTCACTTTACGAGGGAGATACCTTTGGCCACTCAGAGAAAGTTGCCAAAGCACAGCCGCCCGACGGCCAAAACGGCGACTCCCGCTGTGGGGGAACAAGGCTCCCTTTGTTGGAGAAACCCTGGTTGGGGTGGTCCCTCTATTCTCTAGCAAAACGGGAGAGTTGAAAGGTAAGCCCTGGAGCGAACTGTGCTTCCTCAAGAGAATCGAAGGGCAAATAACAATCTTCAACCGAAAAGGTTGAAGTCCAAAAGAGAACAAACCCAAACAAAAAAGCTCATTTCAGGGAGCTTCCCACCCGCCCAACTGTTCAGCGCTTCAACTTCTGACCCTCCTGCCATCCGCCTCAAACCCCGCAGAGACCATCCCCTCAGACCATCGCCTCCCGGGACCGCGAGAAGAGCACATGCAGCGGCACGCGGCCGGGCAAAGGCGCCGAGGGTTTGGGCGTCGAGGGCACCGAGGACGCCTCCAGCGAGGCGATAAAATGGGCAGGCGAAATGGGATCCCAAAAAATGGGGCCTGCGGAAGAAAAAAAGAGCAACTGTTTGAACAAGCCCATGAGCACTTCCACGAAATGGGCTCCCAAAAACCTTGCTTCTGCGATAGGCCGGGAATGACCGCCCGGGTCTTGGGAATGAACCGTTTCGGGATTCCCTCAAAGGAAACCAGCAGGGATGGTTTATGGGGTGTATTCCGTGTCTCGTTTTTCTGCTGAGAAAAGGGGCCTTCCAAAGGGAACCCTTGAAACAGGCATTTTTTTTGGGTGAGGATGAAAAACACCAGCGCCCAGCCTGTCGAGGCAGAGACCCCGGCTGCTCGGACCGCAAGGTGGCCGGCGCACTGCTGGTGGACTCCTTCTCGTCCCTCAGGCTTGCCTCAGGTACCAAAAGACACCAGCGGTTCCTCGAGGCGTTTTTTTCACGTCGTTGACTTTTCCGCTCCTTGGAGTTGCTGGTTTCTTCTTGATATGTCTGTTTCTCCGAGTTGCTGCTGTTTGCTTGTCGTTTCTCGGATTTGCGGTTTTTTCGTTTACACAAATGCCAAAGGCACCATTGAGGAAGTTACCTGAGCTGAGCCGACTATGCCCCAAAAGCTTGCTTCGGTGTATCAGGGCCATCGCTGGGTTCAATTCCCCTTGCGCCAAAATCCAGGGGGCCCCTTTTCATGTGCAGTGAGAATGGTTGGTGTCGTATCGGGTGCCTGGTATAATGAGTGTCCAAAATGTTCGTAGTTGGCAAAGGGTGCTGGCTAGTTCGGAAAGGGTACTGGCCACCAATTCCCTCCAAGACAACAAGGGAACCAACAAAAAGCACTAATTTGGCTGAAGGCATTCAGCAAAGGGATGTTCAGATGGTGCTTGTTGCGTCGCAGCCCGCGCGGTAAATGACCTATATATCATTTCAAAAAAGACAACACCACCACAAGTGGATTGAATATATTCCAATTTCCAGGTGCCCTGTTCCCCACCTCGCGAAGCTTGCGGAATTGCATTCCCACCTCTCTCATACTACCTAAAAATCATAAAACAAGAAAAAACGATGACTCAGCCTTTTCGTGCGGGAAACTGTTCCCTGGTACGGCAGCGGTTCTTTGACAACTCATGTGACGCGTTCCCAGAGTAGTTTACCTCCGGAACTAGCGAAGATCCGTGAAAGGGAGGCATTGTCCTCGCCATGTCTCCTGAAGAAGAGGGTTTCCTTCGTGAAGTCTGAGTGATGTTCAAACCCGCCAAAGCGGTTAGTCCACGGATGTCCTTTCCTCAGTGTGCTGTTCCGCCGTGCGAGTCAGCTTCAAAAGGCAAACTAAACGGATGTCACCCATCTGGAAGGGGGTACTTGGCCCTCCTTCCAACCACGGAAGTGAGGAGTCGGCCTTTTGACCTGGTCTTCCAAACCCCTCCACTTCCCAAGGCATTTGGGCGCCATGTTGTTTGTGCAACTCTTATATACATAAATATATGTATATATTATATATATATATGTATATATAATAATGTATACAAAAAAAAAGCCCCTTTTGGATGGTTTTTCGGTGGGGAAGCCCCAGGAATTCCTCCGCTCCTACGAGAGGACCATTTGGTCAGAGAGTCCATCCTGAAGAGCGCCGCCACCGAGACCTTCTTTTGGCCTTCCTGGCGCAGGAAAACGGCGGCGGAAGCCACGTGTCGCGTTCAACTTGGGGCTGGGGGGAGATTCGCCCGTTTGGTGGAGGCGAACCCAAGGGAAAGCAGCGGATGGCTTGGGCTAAGGGATTTTGAGGCAAGATGTGTCTCTCAAAGCCATAAGTCTGTCCGAAGA